TTTTCCCTCATCTTTAGAAGTTTTTAAGTCTGTAAAAAAGTTTTTGAGGAAGAAGAAAAAATAGTATTTATTGAATTTTTTTTTAGACTTTAGAAACTCAGAAGCTGATCATATATCGGGTTAAATATCGGTGGGGTGGCCGATGTCCGATATTCAGTTTTAAGGCCGATACAGGCCGATGCCGATAAGGGGCCGATTATATCGTGCATCCCTAAAATCAAATGTACAAACATAATTCAATTAGTCAATAATTTTCTAATTGGATTTCAAATTGCCTGATTTTAAATCTTACATTTGAAATGGCTGATTTTCTTTTTTTCAGTGACCTTCTAGGTCCTCCAGACCCATGGAGGCATCATGGCCACTGCAGCAGTTAAGAAAATAATTTTCCATTCCCCTTTATAATTAAATATCACCTCCTCCCACCACCCTTATAAAAAATTCTAGGGGAAATGTTGTGAAGACAAAAAGTGAGTTAATTTGTCTCCCACTGGAGAAACTAGTTTGTTTTCTAAAATGTTTGACATCCAAAAGATAACACTGTTTAAAAAAACAGTGTTAGTGTTCAGTAATTTCATGTTACGTTTATGAATAATTGTTAAATACCTGAGATCTTAATTTCTGTGTAAAATATTAATGATCATCATTTTTTGCATAATCTAGCATCCCTATTGTGGCGTATCTTTATCCCATGATTCTCTAAAACTGTTCAGCCCTAAAGGGTGGAAGATAAAACATGTCTTTCCATCTAGGTGTGTACTCCCTCATTAATTTTGGAGCTAAAGACTTTTCTTATCCTAGCAAAGTCACTTTAATTGATCAGGTTGCGTCTCCCCATGTAACAGCTTTACCCAAATGAGAAAAGTATTTGTTAATGAAGCCTCTACTGAAAAAAAGATGGTGATGTAATACCCTGTTACTATTAATGCAGCTTTTGAGCAGGTTGCAGCAATGACATGATGGCTCCCGCTGTCTGTCTCTCCACCCAAGATAAATGAGGCACAGTCCTCGAGATAGAGTTGCACCATGTACACAAACTACTGAGAAAGATAAAGTTCGCCTTCTGCATTTGGGTTATCGGCTGTGTTTTTCCCACACTGCTGTGTTAGCTAAACCAGTCACTGCTTGTTTAAAGAATAATAATTGCATTCAAACAGCTACCAAAGAACTAAAATAGGAGTTGATGAAAACCTTCCAGCCAGCTTTAAGTCTGAATGTCAAGTTAAATAAAGAAGTGAAAATGAAACATTCACCAGTTCATAAAATGTGTTTCAGGTCAGCTGTTTGTTTTGGTTACAGCTGTCAAACCATCAGTGTTTATTCTACAGCTCTGCTTCCTGTCTGTAAATGTTTTGTTTTTTGAGAGAATGCAGGAAGTTGGCAGTGTTGTAGTTTGTCTGAAGTAGGTCTGAGGATTGGGCTTTCCTGTAACAGTCTCGTTTACTCTGGAAGACCTTCTGCGTTGTTTAAACATGTCTCATGTTACGATAAAAAGAATATGCGTCAAAGATTGTAACTAATGGTTAAATTCCTAGTTTCCATGTATGTTTTTATTCTTTTTTTTTCTTCTTTTGACTGTCTCTGTTCTCCTTTTCCAGAGCAAATCTTCCAGAACCTCCGCCAGGGGTACAACCGAATTCAGAGGCGACGGCAGCTGGAGGGGGCCTTTAACCAGTCTGAGGCCTGCAGCTCCACCGACACCCCCAGCCCCAGTACCCCCCTCAACGCTCCTAGCTCCCCACCTGGTACGACTTTCTGCTAATACCTGATCTAACTGATCAACAGGAAGTAGTCGTAGTTATTACTTGCTCAAGTATTAATGTTGGTATTATTGAAGGAATCGTCAACCTTAAAGGAGAGCGGTAGTTTAGAGGATATATCGTAGGACTGTGTGCTACATTTGGGCAATTAAAAAGTTAAAATGTTGGCCAGATAATTGTAGATGTAATTTAAGCCTCTTTGCTGGGCAGCCTTGTTTTCTATCATGACAGAGCTGTTTTTACCCCATCCGAGATGCTGCCACCCACCATGTTGATTTGACCTACAATTTATTGTACCCGACTTGCTGCAGACCTCAGAGATCGCAAAGTGATAAATCACTAAGGGAAACCTAGCTCCATTTCAGAGTGACAGAGTTACTGGAGGTGCTGAGATGGTTCCAGCATCTGCACCACATGTCTCTGTTCATCAGAAAGGAAAGCTATAAACTTGCACCTGGCTTGACACTAATCCTGTCCTTGACTTGGCAGCTTTTAAAGGCTCTATCCCTGTTTTGGCTGATATCTTTTTTCCTTCACAGGTGCCTCAAGAAAGGACCAACCCTCGTTCACACTGAGGCAGGTCAGCTACCTGTGTGAGCGCCTGCTTAAAGACCATGAGGAGAAGATCCGGGAGGAGTACGAACAGATCCTTAACACAAAACTCGCAGGTAAACCATGAATCATGTCTGAAAGAATATGATCAATGATACTTTTTTTTTTTTTAACTAACATTAGAGTGAACAACAAAGTTGTGAATCACTGGGTAATGGAAGGAAAATTATAGATTATTTTTTTTAAGTCGAAAATGAATTAAACAT